AACCATCAAGAAACATGGGAAAAATTCAATCCAATTTCCTTCATGTTTAGAACAAGTATCCACGTGTATCTGTTCACCATTCCAATCACAAATTACAATGAAGTGTTACTTCCTCCTTGCAGGTTCCTGGCTGTGTAATGGTTAGATTTTTTATTTTTTTTTACATCTGTGGAACATTAAAAAAAATCATGCATCATTTAATTGAAAAAAAAAAAGAGTTTGATTTCACTTGGTAAGGACACCCTTTGTTTTCCCCAAGAAATAAGGTCCATTTGCCCTAAAATTCTCAATCAAGCCTGTGTAATGGTACTTTGCATATTTGGTTGTAAATTTCCCTGACCAAGTCACCAACTACTTTTTTTCTTCCTTATTCTTTAGTTGTTAAGTATATGAAAAAAATATTGTTTACAGTATATGAGAGAATAATAATGCTGAAAGCTGAACCACCATCTCTGATGAATCTGTCTCTCATTTTGGAAAAAGTGCATGTTTAAGTAGTTAGTTTAATCTTTAGCCAAACCATGTAATTGTTGATATATTTATCTAGATATTTTATTTTGTTATTATTTTACCTTACTCTGGCATGCAAGGAACAAATCTGCTCCTTTAATCACAGAATGCTATCTGGTCATTTAAAGTCTGTGCACTGTTGCACAAGTTACTGTTCATCTTACCTTTACTCTCCCCTATGTATTTTTTTTTTTTAAGAATATTTATGAATTTCCAATGAAGACAATCAGTTGTTAACAGATGCCTTATTGTAGTCAGGGTAAAGGACAGTTCTGCTGCTGAGTGAAGATGGAAGTAAAAGACCCCATGAACGTTATAAGGAAGAGGTGGGAGCAAAATGGAAAGAGGTGAGAAATGTTGTAAATAAACGTATGCTTAGGATGTCTGTGTTTTGTGTAGTAAAAGAGGCTTTACAGTTGTGAGGCTGGTCACGCAAACCCTAAGGTAAAAATTTTACAGTGTTTCCTTTCGTTTTTAATAGGTTGTTACTTGTATAATGCCCATTGCA